TCTCTCCATGCCAGTGGACCCTGGCCACCGGGGGGAGGTCAAGGTTGGCTGCAGTGCGGAGGGCTCTGCTCCCCTCGTTGAGGAGAAAGACCCTATCATTCCAGGATGTTTTAGCAGCGAGGGCAGCGGCTTTCGTAGCAGTAGCTGCAGCAGATCCATAGCGGAAAGGGAGGACTCCGATTTCCGCACAAGCAGCGTCTGCAGGCGTGGAAGGTAGAAGGCCGGATACGATGCGTACGTAGGTATTGTATACCGGAGCGAGGATGCGGTTCAGCTTCTCGGTGGCTAAGCAGGTAATTTCAATGCCGTAGAAAAGTCGACTGTCGATAACAGCCCGGGCGACACGAAGGCGGATCTCGCGGTTACTGGAGCGGTGCGGGCGGGAGATTGTCCTGACGATGTTGATGCGGCTACTACAGTTTTCATTCACCGATCTGAAGTGCTGGTCGAAACTTAGAGTCCGATCCAGAACTACCCCCAGAACACGTACTGTTTTCTTAAGCGGAATTGGATGGTCCTGGATGGTGATCGGTGGTTCCCGAATCAGATGGCCCGAGTGGCAGATATGGCACCGTACACTCTTTGGAGCGGAGAGCTGGAAACCAACAGAGAGCGCCCACCTGCTGACGGCGGAGACAGCTGCTTGGGCAATATTCCTGGTCCGTTTAGTCGTTCGTCCCGTTACGACGATGAGTATGTCATCGGCATAGACGATTACGTGCACGTTCTTGGGCAGTCGGCTGAACACCCCGTTCATTGCCACCAGGAATAGCGTAACCGCTATGACGGATCCCTGGGGCACTCCAGTTTCCTCGGGGAACGGATCCGATCGAGTGTTCCCGACAGTCACCTGGAAGGTACGATCAAGGAGGAAATTCCGTACAAAGTGCGTGATGTGGCCTTTCAGGCCCCAGCCGATGAGCTGCCTGATGACGCCAGGCGTCCACGTCCTGTTGAACGCCTTTGATATATCAAGGGATACTAACTCCGCATGGTGACCGTTGTCCTGGGCTTCCTTGAGTACATTCCCGAGGGCTGCAAAGTAAGTGGAGGAGCCATGTCCTTGCCGGAATGCATGCTGCCGTTCGTCAAGGAGACTGTTAGACTCCAGGAACTGCCTAAGTCGACGATTTACCATTCTCTCCATCACTTTTGCCGCGCAGCAAGTGAGCGCAATCGGCCTAAAGGAGGAGGCTTCTCCACTCGCCGCGTTGTTCTTCGGAATGGGCACTACCAGGCTTTGTTTCCAGAGGTCCGGATACGAGTCAGTGAGCCATAGGTCGTTGAAGAGGGCGAGTAGCCTCGTTTTTCCGTCGAGGGAGAGGTTTTTTAACACCGGGTATCCAATCTCGTCCGGCCCGGCAGATTTACCAGTACTGCTGCCGAGGGCAAACTGAAGCTCCCGGAAGGTAAGAGCATCGTTGATCTGGAGGGAAGGGACATCGGGTGGAATTCGCAGGTCACGAATGCTGCTTGTGGAAGGTTTGACGCGCTGGACGAAATCGCTGTCGTAGCCACTCACAGCGGACAGGCCGGCAAAATAGTTCCCTAAATTGTCAGCGATGTCCTTCGGTTCTGAGATCGTGGTGCCATGAGCTTGGATAGTAGGTGGAGTAGACCGCCGCTTGCCACTCAGAGCGTTGACGCGATTCCACAAGTCGCTCGACGATTGGGATTCGTCGATTGAATCCAGGAAATCCATCCAGCTGGATCGCTTTGCGTCACGGATCACCTGTCTGCACGAGAGATGGCGTTCTCGGTAGACCTTCAGCGCTTCCTCCTTTGAAAATGGAGCATTGTATTTAAATCTGGTTGTTGCTACAGTTGTAGAAAAGCTGAAATCTAGGCATACACCTAAAAATCTGAAAAGAAATTATTTTTTTTCTATATTATATATCTATTGAGTAGTCCTTAAGTTTTCTACTAACGTAGCATTAACCAGATTTAAATAAAATGCTCCATTTGCAAAATAAAGGCATTTTAAGATTGAACTCGTATACCTCTCCGTATAAAATTTTGAAACCATCATCACTTTCATAGTGTTCATCTATTCTCCACGAGTGTCAACTTTGATTTGGATCAGGATATTTAATCATCGCCATAGGCCTTTTTAATAGAAACTAAACGATCGATTCTGCCTCTGGTGGTAAATAGGAGAACGTCAAAAAGAGTGTTGTGCGCAGAAATTTTTGCCTTGAGACATAGGAAGCCCTCACGTATGTGTTGGTAGAGGAGAAAAGGTAAACATTGCGGAAGAGGATGACCACGACGTCATAGCAGTCGAAAGAAAATTTGTGAAATATGACGTACAGCAAATTCTAGATATGTTTGCATGATGATTGCGCTTGCTTGTATGCTTTTGTTAAGTATCCGGGAAGTATCAGCAGGCGTTTTGTATTTTTATAGTAACTCCTTACTTGGAAACGGGCAAAAACTAACCAGAAGGCTGCATTGTCATGGTATACAGTGTGCTAATAAAATAATCAATACATTATCTCAACATTCAGTGGACAAACATTCTTAAATTTTGACTTCATACGGAAATTCTATAATTCATATTAAATTTCCAATGCAAACGCTGATAGAAACAAACGTTATGACGTAACTACGAGCGTGTTTGAGCGTACGAAAGAAGCAAATCGTGAGAGGCCGACTGAAAGCCGAGTGAAAAACGAACTGCACCAATACGTACAGGCCATCAATTCCACACCTTGTATAGACCAGGTTGGTATCTAGCTTCGTGTAAATGCAGTAATCGTGTTTCGATCTTGTGAAACCCATGTTCAGGATTGCTTCGTTGAACCGATCATTCCACTTCGGGACTGTTTTAAACCATACAGCGATTTGAGCAGCCGACAAACTTGACCTGATTTCGCACATCCATTTGGTGGACATAGTATTGTCTGTGCACACCTACTGCTAAAACGATCCTGATGGTAGCCAATCGAGCTACAGCTGCATACACTCAAAAAATTCCACACGTCATCATCATGTGTCTCACACTTAATTTTGCGCATATTGTGAAACACATCCATTTCATGTGTGAATTTTATGCTATGAACCATGCCCGAACACTATGGATTTGAATTATGACACTCTTGGATTCTACTGTTAGCTGAAGAGCCTCCTGGATCTCGCGGACAGTTACCTTCGGGTTCTTCTTCACTTCACGCATGATCTTGGTGTCCGTTCTCGCATCCGTTTTGCGCATCCTGCCTCTGCCAGGGCGATCCACCACTGATCCGAACGATTTCATTTTCTGCAGAATTTTCCCGACCGCTGTTTTGCTGATATTGTACTTCCTAGCGACAGACCGGTGCGATTCACCGTTTTGCACATCACGAACAACCAATTTTCGGATACACACGGGAATTGCTTTCGAAATCACTACGTCCTCCATTTTTTTCAACTGATTCAAATGCGATCACGTGTACAAATGCACCAGTTCCACCCGTTTGCTTCAATACATGTCAAACTTTCAAAACAAAAACAATCGAGGGGTTTTCCGATGGAAACTTATCGAAAACATACCGATTTTTGAAGTGGGCACTTTTTTTTGTCACTGTTTTCTTTTTCAATCCAAATTGATTTTCTTTTACTTCAAGTAAAACTTTATATTTTCAGTATTCCATAGGTGTAACTTTAAAAGAATAATAAAGGTAAGACATCGAAACAGACTACGGTGTGTTTATTTGAATTTGAACCAAATAAATGAGAGAAATTTCAAAAATGATGGGGTGGGCACTTTATTTTGCCTATCAGTGTATGTGCCTCATATGGTGATATCAATAGCTTTGCACATCATAGTTCAATATTCTACAATATTCTACTTTATCGACTTCTACTTTACCGACTCTAAAAATGAATCGACAAATATATAAACAAAACTGCCAGAGGCCAGATCTGTCACATATCTTTTTAATGGATCTGATTTGGGATTCGATTATGGACTGTTGGGGTGAGCTGCTGCCGGAGTCTTCGTTCGATCTCACTGTGCCACGGTTGTCATCATTTATGAGGCGGGTTGATAGGATAAAGTCACAACTCTTGTTTTCGATGTTTACCTTTCTGAGCAAGCAATTCACATCGTATTGAAATTTAAAACACTTTAAATCCATCTGTTTTGAACAGTAGTGTGATTCAATGTGCTATACACTTGAATGTATAGTGAATGATTTTCAACATTTCAAAGTTTGAAACACCAGAAATTAACGTGTATAACACATTGAACCAAGGTGAAATACACTTAAAGTAAATGTGATTGTGCATTTAAAAAATCAAGTGTTTAAACACTTTGATCAAACGTGTGCAATTTTTTGAGTGTAGGTTTCTTCATAACCCGGCCTTGCTTCTGGAGATATCCGAATTGGTCTGCCGTTCTCATCTTCCTTCAGCTGGAACACCCATCTCGACTTGAAAGGTTTCACATCCTTGGGACAGGTCGTCAGTTGCCAAACATGGTTCTCCTGAGTGATTCCAACTCATTCGCCACGGCACACATCCAATCGTCTTTGTCGTCTCGGTTGGCAATTTGACCATACGTTTCGGGAACATCTGAATAATGTGAATAGTATAATACCCCGTTCACATTTCAGCGTATATCACGTGATATATGCTGTCTTGCAATGAGCACTCATACAACTAGTTGTCACTGGAAATCCTATGTATGAGTGCTCAAGACAGCCTATATTACGTGATATAGACTGTAATGTGAACGGGGTATTAGATAGCAATAGTAAAGATTCTACCCGGTTGGTGTTTTGTCTTCCGTGATAAGGATACCACATGCGGTCATTGTTCTTATTACTGATGCCCCATGCATTAAGGAAATCGTAATATATAATACCGCCAAAAAACCAATCCGCGAATTCCTCTCGGTATTTTGAGAACACTATTTGTCACGCAGTATCAATCAATATCAAGCCTACGTATCTTTGGTCCAAAACAGAAGCATCAACCCTACTGCTTGACGGAGCGATAAAATCTCAATCCACACTTACCGGACTGCCCGTCAGTCAGACGCTCCGAGGGGCACACCAACGTAGCGCAGCAATCGTCCGTTTTCGAGGGGCTCTCGTAGCATCCGGCCTCCGGCAGCGTTTTGCCACGTTTGATGAATGGCCTTGCACAACGGGGCTCGCAGCGCCATTTACCGTCTTCCTCGCAGGTGCATCGCTCGTCGCATCCCCGGTCAACGGTTTGGTTCGTCTGGAGGTGCATGCAAGGAGAGGAAAAAGTGAATGCTTCAGTTTAGATACAGCAACATAAAATGATGCGATTGGTTGTTTGCATTTAGAAAATCATGTGACCGACGACGTCGCGTCTCGCATCGCTTCGTCGTTGGTTGTCGTCGGTTTGAGGTAGTGAAGGCACATTTCAACGATTCGCTCGTAAATCTGGTAAATTGCAGTACAGCGGATTTCATTATTTGCTAATAAACTTTTTTTAACACCCCGCGCTACTGGATGCTGCAGAGTGGTTTGAAAACTATCCATCGTACACGCATGACATGTCAACAGTTTATTGTTAAACGTTGAAGTTTGTGGAAATTGCACGTAATATTTCAAATCACAGATTCAATTGCTCTAGGTGACGGGCTGTGAAATACGACTCATTCTAAATCCTACACGCGAATGCCAAGTGAATGTGAACGTGATTTCGTCGCCGCGTGTTAGCCAGATAGATGGTTTTAGATTCAATATTAATCTTTCGTGATATTCGGGTTAAGTGTACTTGTTCATGTGAGAACCGTCCAATGTGTGGTTCGGGTGTCAGGATGAACTGGTCCAGCAACTATATCAGAAGCATTGCGGTACAGACACTCTAATTGAAAAGGTTTCGGCCTTGAGTGGGCATTAGAAGCGATTGCGAGTCGTGAGACTATACGCTTGAAAATGTTCATCGTCGAATTCGGTGCCATCGTATAGCAATCTGAAGCTGTCGACGCTTTCTCGGTTGCAACTAGTGCAGACCATGCAACAGTTCTTTTAGAAATGGTGATATGATGAATACTCTGCACAGTGCGATGTCTGAAAATTTTCAAAAATGTCTGCAACATAGTTTTTGACCAAACTTGACCTGATACTTACGAAAAAACCAGAAAGTTCACACTACAGGATCGTTTTCTCTGCCACATCACTTCAGATTGCAAGAAGCTCCCGTCGATGTTTTCATTTTATTATTTCACACAAAACGATGAGAGTTTTTATTTCAATCTGAAGGGATGTTTCAGAGAACCATTTTTAACATTTTAATTTACTCACTAGGTCACTTTCACCTTTAGTACTTTTATGTACCTGTATTAAAACCAATGACTAATTCTGCCAGTTATTTTTGATTTGCGCAACTGTTCGGTAAAGTTTTGAAAATAAATAAAAACCAGAGAATGAAATATTAACCTTGAATTAGTTGAACCTATTTACTGTTGGTACTATTTATGATAAATTTTTGATTCATCAGTGAATAACGGTCACTTGAACTGATTTTTTCAGTAATTCAAATACCTAGAAAAATACTGGCCTCCGTAAAATAATTTAAAATCCTATACAGCAAATTTATACATTTACACTACACTCGATTAATTTAAGTTAAGCCCAACCTCTTTTTGTGGATCAAAATATCGATTATATAGTTTGGCTTTCTACCACGACGAGAGGGGTATTTCCACAATAATTATGGATATGCTCTTCAATTTACATTTTAAAGTTATGATTATATGCATCAACAATGCGAATCCAACGGTCGCAGTAATAAGTATAAAGAGTTGATATGTTTTTGATCGATAAAAAAGATAGAGCCAGTTCAAAAATCAATCAAGGCTTGTGTTTCCATTTCTCGGCAATTTTTGGCTATCCGGGAATTGGGAAATAGCTTATGGGTCCTCCCAGGCATGCTTGGCATACATAGTTGTACACACGAACTGCTCATTTGTTAATAACTTTTCACTCAGTTGTTGAAATTTGTTTTTCTTTATAGTAATTGATAGATTAGGATCATAGTTTACTATAGATATGCAAAGAGTAGGTAAATCTTAACATTTGAATCAACGCCAATGATTTTTTACACTTAAGGTCCGAGATGTGCAGCGAGCATTTCTCACTTAATTGTTATAACGCAGAAACAAATACAGTTTATTACTAGAATGAAAATCTACTTGTTTTTACGTATCTATAACAAGCTTAAACTCTATTCTATCTACTGCTTCAAACAGAACTATGTTACGTCAACTGTGTGCGAAGTTGGTGAGTACAACTGTGTATGCCAAGCATGCTCCCAGGAATTCCTTGACATCGAGAAATCATTTTACCCGGTGACTAGATCAGAGCCATCAGATCGAATAAGATGTTTGCACGTTAAACTAATAGATTGAACGTGAAATCTGGAAATGTTATATTAATTAACAGTCATAACCCGACCAGAACGTTATAACAAAATTATATCATGATTATATCAACTTCTGTTATATATAATAACCGTTGATATAATCTTGTTTTAAGAGCTCTGTGGTGAAATGAGGAATAAAAAATCGTCATGGTATTTGATATAAAATTGTTACACAATTTGTTAGAATAAAATTTATAACAACATTTTAACTAAGTTCGTTAGCATTAGCAGCACGAAAAATGAAACGTTTTGTTTTATTTTAATTTTTGTTTTGTTTTAGTCTTGAGCCGGTTGTAGAATTTAAATTTATTTAAGGACTACGGAAAAGTTTTTCACATGGAATTGGGCTAGTAGGGTTAATGTCCTTAATGTCAGCCTAAGTGTCCCTAATATTGGGCCCATAATTTAATTTCGAAGGCAAGCATATTTTTGATAATTATAAACTAAAAATCAAACATTCATTTGTATTGTCCAGATGATGCATTGTTTTACGAAAAATTGAAGAACGAGAGATTTTTATTAGATCCATAGGCCAAAGTTAGTGCTTTTTCCCCTATTTTTTTTACAGCATTCTCTCCTCTTTTTTTGGTTTGTTTTTTCCGTCGATCTTGTTTTCCGTGCTGAGCACCAATGCTACCGACGAGCCAGGAAGGCAGCTCCCACACCTGGACCCTACCTATCGACCCATCAACTCATGAACCGTGGACCAACGGCTTTACTTCCCATCCGAAGGAAGGCGTGATCAGAGATGTTATGCCTCAGAACATCCCGGCGGCGCCGACTGGGATTGAACCCAGGCCTGCTGGGGTGAGAGGTAATCACGCTTACCACTGTACCACCGGTGCCATTAGCATTCTCTTTTGATTGGGATGCTAAGAATTAAATAAATCATTACAGTCAACTCTCCCTTACTCGATCTCTCCTTAACTCGATTCTCCCTAACTCGATGGAAATCCAGGGGCCTCATTTCGCAAGTCAAATCAAACTACCTATCCCAAAGCGAGAGCAGATGATTTGTCAAATATTTTAACAACAATCTAAAAATATAATACACTCAAAAAATGTATTACCCAAAAACCGTGTTAAAAAATTCAGTTCATACCCTTTTTAGTTTTTACCCTAATGGGTTATTTTGCAACAAGGTTTGTTAAAAATATGACATAACCCTAACAATAGTTGTTATATTCTTGATAGTACGTAGAAGATTTCTTGTTATATTTTTTGTTTTTTTTTAACTACTAACGGTACATGTTGTATAACAGAGCATGTTACGAATAATTTTATATCTCAGTAACACAGTGTGTATTATTTCTGATACTTCTTTCTGGTCGGGAATGTTATACCTTCACAATGCTTAGTGATGCTGCGAACAAGCTCGCTTCACGACAGCGGGACAGTACTTATAACAAAACGGTATGTTTCAGAACAATGGAACCATCTCGAATCTTGCCCTCAAGTCATTGGATTGCTGTCTTGAACACTGCCATCTTTTTCCTAGCGTTATTCCACATCAAGACATTGAAGAGAGCAGTCATATTTCTATCGTTAATAAAACTTGTTCGTTGTTACTAGTTTTCCTGGTTGTTTCCGTACCATATTACTTAAGGTTATGGGCTCTGCTACGATGGAAGGTTCTGGAATTCCACAGTTGGATGGAACAAATTTTGAGAATTGGTGATTTCGAGTTCAACTCTATCTGGATGCGGTGGATGTTTCAGAAACGCTTACGGGACAAGTTCCTGGTGCAACGGATCCTGGAAGAGCGATGCAGGAAGGTACTGCGGCATAACTTCCAACAGTTCGACGACATCGTACGGCAACTCAAGACCGCTGCACAGTGGTCCAGAATGCAGATTTAGGTGGAATGATATGTTTTGAGCCTGAAATTGAAACTTTAGACTAAAAGTCTTTTCTACAAAGTTGTTCCTTATAGTTAGGCCCTCATTTTTATGACAATGAATTCTAGGGTGGTTCCTATTATCATTAAAATCAAAAATCTAACTTTTTTGTTTGAATAAATTAAGGTATACATTCTTCAGCAAAGTTATAGCTGAGCTAATTTCAAGCAACTTTGTTGAAAATAACTTTTTTGTATCTCTTAAATTGGCCGATTTAGAGCTATTTTCTTGAATTGAGTTATTGTGACTCTTAAAAAAACAGTATTTTTGCTCTATTTTTCTTATTTCGAATTTCTCAGCAAAGGTGAAAATTCTCATGAAAGTTATCTTCTAGAGACTTTTAAAACTCTTCAAGACGAATGTTTTATACCTGAATTTGTTGCCTGTATCTCTTCTAATAAAAAAGATATACTCAAATATAGTAAAAAATATGAATAAATTCAAATTGATTTTATACGAGTTTAAAAAATAACATACCTCCAATTTTTTCATATTATTGAGAATTACATACGCCCTTTCAAATGCTGCAAAAAAACTTTTTTTTTTGTTTGCCCCAACCAGAGATATTAACATTTGGAAAGTGCATATTTTAAGTATAACAACGTCATTAACTCTTGATCGTCGAAAGATATTGACAAGCTTTGTGCACCAAAAATTTGCGCCTTTTTAAGATCTAAAAGTTATCTGAAAACACCTTTGCTGAGAAATTCGAAATAAGAAAAATAGAGCAAAAATACTGTTTTTTTAAGAGTCACCCTAACTCAATTCAAGAAAATAGCTCTAAATCGGCCAATTTAAGAGATACAAAAAAGTTATTTTCAACAAAGTTGCTTGAAATTAGCTCAGCTATAACTTTGCTGAAAAATGTATACCTTAATTTATTCAAACAAAAAAGTTAGATTTTTGATTTTAATGATAATAGGAACC